TGTGTGCTGACATGTGGATCGGAGAGCGGATATTTCAACAGGGCAAACACTCGGGTGAGAAACAGGTTGGGAACAAATGCAGCTGACCCCGTGGGAGCTGACCTTTCTAGTGTGGGTGCAGTGCAGAGCCACAGCGAGCCGTGCCAGGCCTGGCCAGAGATCAGTTACTACTTGTGAACCACAAAGCAAAGGGGAGGATTTTCCCTCTTAACAATTCAGGTGGGGGCGGGAGGGATGCAGAGAGTTGCTTGGCCAGGGAGCTTGCCAAAATGACAAGGCCAATTTTCTCCCTTATGCTCTGACTGCTAGACTCCTCCCTGAGCTGCGGCTAGACACCCAGCCTGCCCCGTGAGACCAAACAGCACCCAGGGCACAGCCCCACATGGGACCCAACCCCGGCTAACACCCTCTTGCTCTGGATCAGGGCTATGCAGAGTGAGCTCACGAGGTGACCACTCCCTTTATCAATGAAGGGGAGGGATGCCCAGTCCTCCCCCCGAGACAAGGACATACACTGGGGCTAGTCAGAAAGAAAGGGGCTTTTATTAAGCACAAAAAGCCGGCTTGAAGTGGTTGTGAGTGATGGCAGCCAGCCCAAAACAAAGGGAGGGTCTCAAGAAGTGTCTCAAGACCAGGAGCAGCAAATAAGGCCAGGAGGGGCTTCTATGGACCAAAATTTCCCATTGGAACTTCATACCTCCTATGAAAAATGCCTCATTTGGGATAGCTCAGTGGTTTGAGGGGTGACCAGCTAAACCCAGGGTTGTGAGCTCAATCCTTAAGGAAGCCATAGAGGGTATGTCTACACTACCCCCCTAGTTTGAACTGGCGGGGTAATGTAGGCATACCGCACTTGCAAATGAAGCCCGGGAAATTCAAATCCTGGGCTTCATTTGCAAGTGCGGTATGCCTACATTATCCTCCTAGTTCGAACTAGGAGGGTAGTGTAGACATACCCTTAGAGATCTGGGGCAAATCTGTCAGGGATGGTGTTTGGTCCTGCTGTGAGGGCAGGGGACTGGACCCACTGACCTTTCAAGGTCTCTTCCAGTTCTGCAAGCTAAGTAAAACAAAACCCACCTGCTACGTTGAGCACCCTGGCCTGCAAGAAGGAGCTATTTTGGAATAACCCCCCTTCTTTCGAAATAAGAAGTGGAGCATCCACCCGACCGAGCCTGTTCTTTGAAATCTGCACTCTGGCTCCCCTCGGGGAATAGCGCTAGTGGGGACGTGCTGCTCTTTCGAAATAGCGACTCCGCAAAGTAGGTGCTGCCTGGGGCTCTCGGTCGAGGCAGCACATTCATGGAGCCTGCCCCGGACTCACTTGGCGGCTTCCCCGCAGGGTTGTGTTATGGCAGGCTCTATTATTTGGAATGTAGGCGTTTCGGAATCACCTCCCG